ATTGACCTAGTTCTACTCTTTTGCCCATTCAATGTGTTATCTATTTCTGAAAATTTAGTATTAATCTTCTGGATTTCTATCTGTAGATTTTGTATCATTTCTGATTTTTCATTTATTTTGTCATTTTGTTCTTGTATTCTTTTCTTAAATTGTTCTAGGGTTTTGTCTGTGTTTTCCATACTTTTGTCAGTGTTTTCCTTGATCCATCTCTCAATCTGTTGAAAGTACCTAAATATAATTCTTTTGAATTCCTTATCAGGGAGTTCCAGTGCTGCATCTTCCTCAGGGATGTGTTCTGGGTCTGTTTCCTGCTCCCTTGTTTCTACCACTTTATCATGCTTCTTTGTGTGTGCTTTTCTTGCTTCTTTGGACTGTGATGGTCTGTTGTCTCTGGGACATTGTGACTTTGTTGTATTTATATTTAACTGGTGATTGTATGTTGGAGTGATTTTCCCAAGGTTTTTGTTTTCTTTGGATGTATGTGAGTAAGCAGGGTATTGTGCTCCTCTCTTTGCTAGTTGGCAGCACTTATGCACTCACCACCTGTCTCCTGGTGGGTGTGATTGAGAATGAGAGTGGCTGCACAGATCTCTGTTAACTGTGAAAAGCATTTAAGCGTAAGTCATGCTCTTATTGGTGGTCATGTGTCATTGGACATTTGGTGTGGAATGAAGTGGTAGCTCTCACTTAGTAAGTGGAGCTGCAGGAGGTGCCAGTGTGATTGGGTTGTATGGGCACAGTTGCTGTCTCCCATTCAGTTAGACGAAAACAACAATAGAAAAACCACTGAAAAAGTAAAAGCAAGAGGACAAAAAATACACACTGTATAAACACACAGGAATAATCACCTAGAACAGAACAAGGGAAAAAAAAAAAGATGAAAAGCAATAATGAGAGAAAATATTTCAAGAAATACTTTAAAAAACTAAAAGAAATAGGAATAGAAAAAGGGGAGAAAAACCTCATAGTATCTGGGGAGGAAAGAATAAGAGAAAAGAAGTAGAGTAGGAGAATAATGAAGAAAAAAATGGGAAAAATGCAAAAAGA